AACAAGGGCAATATTTACTCATAGTAAATATTTTTCGATTCGTCTGATTTTCAATAGGGTTCATCCTTGGGTGATTACAAACAACCATACCAAGTTTCGTCAAAATCAGTCAAGAATTGTGCCTTGTAGAGTGTTTACGAGCAATTGTGGACGGACGGACGGACGGAATGAGGTGACGGCAATATACGCCCCCCATTTCATGTGGGCGTATAAAAATTAAAAGCATGTTACTATTTCAAGTTGATAGACATCGCGAGACGTGACCTTTTAAGTCATATATGGTAACATATTAATCACTGACTCGATCAACATGGTGTGCGGAGATAGTAGATATCATAGATGACAACCGAGACAACATGGCCCATGGCTGTTGCTTTATACCCCCTACTATATATACTATGAATACTTCAAAGTCAACGTTTATTATTTTCAGTAACGGCTGTTTTGATGATAAATCTTACTCAGACAAAAATGTCCGCTTATTAAATTGTTAAAAATATACACATTTGCAATTTGACTCAACTCAAAATTCAAGGACTTTGCAAGAGAAAATGTTTTTTTTTTTTTATGGTGTTTTCAAAGACTTTTTTTCAAATCAAGGTTTTTCAAGGCAACGGACGGAATTCAAGGGTTTTTAAAGGCTCTGCGAACCCTGGATAAGAGGATTTTAAATGAAATGAATGGAGTTTTAAAGATGGGCAATGCCATACAGTGTTTAACGAGGGAAATTTTTGCCAGGAGAGCATAGAAGGGGATTTGAAATTTACTCACCCACAACAAACAGCTTCAACTATGGCAATACAAAAAGCTTCTGTCAGAGAGGTGTTCAATAAAATATCACCTTTTACCAGTACCTGAAAATTATTAATATATTTTAAATATCTAACGTTATTAACAATGTAGACTCTCTCACAGTATAAGAGTAATAATATAAGCATGGTATGCTCTATTAGATACATTTGACACCTCACCCCTTTCAAATTTTACATAATGAGGCCCCCTTGTCAATTCTGTTGCCCTTACTTGTTCTCCCTAATAATTCATAGAAGGAACACTGGCGAATTTCAATAAATTTCAATAATTAATATATTTATAGATACCTACAGCTCTGACTTGATCTCATCACCTAATAATGATAAATAAAAATTGCCCCCGAGGATCCAATCACAGTTACTGTATGGTAAGCAAACCCTGTCTAGCTAGTGAGAAGGGACTATCACAGTTATTAATGTATTGAATATTTACATCTCTGACTTGGTTATGTTGTAAGGCCCCCAATAACTTCACTCTGGAATGTAATTGATGCTGTTCTCTTACTTCTTCTAGTACCAACTGTTTAGGACCACTACCCCCTGAAATCATACAAAATAATATTAAATATAATATTTAATTAAAACTCATCACTCCCAACAACCCCCCTTTCCCCACCCCTGAGGTTTTCTAGCTTGTTTTCTTTCTGTCTATCAGGGCTTCAAGTTACATCTTTCCAATTTTCCGTAAGATATCTGTGGAAATTTTTACTATGTATAGCATCACCTATTAAGAGCTTATGCTTATCTTCCTCACAGTAGTCCCACAAACAGAGAATTGAAATGGTGGAAATTGATGCTATTATGTCCCAATACACTAAACAAGTTAGAAAACCTCTTTACCTTTCATTAAAATCCAATACTTTACCTCTAAATAATATTACTAATATATAAAATTGTGAAAATATACCAACCTATAATAAACTGTACCTCAGGATATTTACAAGTTATAATTGGTATAATTTCAGCTAATAAATCCATCCCCTTTCTGTACACCAGTCTACTAACTAATACTATCGTTACTAAATTACATAAATAAAATAATAAAATTAACAAATTAACATTTAGGACAGCTAATCCATGCAGTGGACAATGAAGGAAATTTTCATCTCAAAAAAAAGGGATTCTACGTTATAGCACAAAGACTGACTATGTGTAAAAGTCTGGTGAATGAGTTTATTTTATTCAGCTGTAAATGGTTATGGATAATCTATGAAAGATTCATTCCAAGATGTATACCGGATCCTTGTGAACCAAAGTTGTTATCCTTGTTAAATCAATACCAAGAGGTTTGGTCAAGGATCAGCTGGTATACAAGATCCTCGTGAACTTAAGTTGTTATCCTTGTAAAATCAATACCATGAGGTTCAGTCATACAGGATCCTTGTTAACTTTTTTCATTGTAAATAAATTTCATTCATGCTTTTTCTTTCTTTCGTTTCAAAATGAAAACTTACTTTTATTTGGATCTCTTTTAGAAACATCAGGAGTAAACATGGTGGCGTCTACAGCGTTCGGTATCACAGAGATATTTTTGGGATCTAAACTGGCTCGTAAAGTTGTATTTTCTTTACTGAAATAGTCAAAAGAACATTTTATAACAGAAATATTTTTTGGATCTCAATAAGCTCCTACGAAGATTGTATCTTTTAGTTGCTTTGTGTCTCAAGCTTACAATCCTTGAAGGTGGTTTTTTTTTCTCTTAAAGATGTTATTTCAAAGCTTAAATAGTCAAACTTAAACTTCCATAGGCCTGTGGGTCTACACAAGATGCTATAAAATAAGTCATCCTTAATCCAAATTTTACAATGTTATATTTATAACAATGGGCTTGTATAGTTATAACTATGACCCAGAAAATACTTCAGTTACAGCTTTCGTCTAAATTAAAACCAACAAACCTGGTGTGAGAAACACAGATACAATGTGTACAGTCTCGAAGTGAGAACCGAAGAACTTCATTGGTCAAAATAGAACTACCATCAGCAAACCCAAATAAGGAATGATCAGTAAATACTGTATGTAAACCCATCGTTCTGGCGTGTAAATACCTTCATGAGCTAAAGTTGAAAATGACTGAAAGAGAAAGTAAACTTAGTTTTATCTTTATGGTATGACTGGAAAAATGAAATGGAATTATGTCTTA